TTGCTCACTGTTATTTTATCAGTACCTGGCTCATTGTAGAAATACCAGAGTATTATTATATGCACTAATACATGGTAACTGTGCATATATGTCCAATTAAAATAACACATTTCAAAGATAAATAGCACTATGAAATATAAGTACCATGTGTGAAACATTAAATGAGGAAGGCATGTAATATGAATAGAAAACGGGGTGTAGGGGGGTGTAAATCAATATTCACTGTTTTTGAGGATATCTTAGAAGTTTATTACCTTGATTGTGGTGATGGTAACATGAGTGTATACATGTGTCCAAACTCATCAGATTATATACATTAATTATGTGCAGTTTTTTGTATACTAATTGTATCTCAATAAAGCTGGGGGGAAAAAAAGTCCACCAGTACTCCAATGCACAAAAATAAGTAGGTAAAGAATTCACTCAGTCCTGTAAACAGCTGACAAATCTTTTCATTAAAAAAAAAAATTAAGTTGCAAGGCAGCAACCATCTAATTTTAAATTTACAACCTTAGCTATATCTAGCAACAAGAACTACAGCATTTACACTATAGTCAATTAAAAAGGTTTGGATTACCACGTCTCAAAAAAGTTGGGACTCTATTATACTCTGTATTATACTGTGCTAAAATGAAGGAGTAGGAAGAAAAAGTATGATTCTTATGCTACTACTCAGAAAAATGCATTCTATGTTCTTCCCCATATTGGGTTGTTCCTTTTTCACACATGGAATGTGCAAGAGCAGTGGGTGGTAAGGAACGAGTGGGAGAATTGGCATGCAGCATTTAATTTCAGTAAATACTTTAGAAAACTTTAGAGATGACCAAGCAGTTTTCAAATAAGGCATTCTTGATACCGCTAATAGAACTGCAAGGATACGTCTTTGTAGACTGTAAACATACATCAAATTATTAGTGCATCCTTTAAATGTGTTTTCCTGATGCCAACAAGCAAGTTATTCTTCCACTATAGTGACCACATGGCCCTGCTAAGTTTTGTGTCGTTTTCTCAGCAAGTCAAAAAGACTAAGAAATCAAATGCCCATGGAATTTTTGTGGAATACTTCACACAAATATGTATTATTAAACAATAACACAATACTGACATGCTATATGTGTGCAAAAAACTCAAGTTGTAAATCCTTTATGTAACATAAAATGTATTTCTAATGTCTCATATTTATAGTTCCAAGGCCTTATGCTTCTGCTATTTAAATTCCTAATCTATGTGTTTCTATTTTAGCTATTGGTGAGTGTATCTATATCACATACGTGAACAGGATTCACTTTATTAAATATATGATGAATACTGGCAATAAATAAATTGATCTTAAAAAATATGACGATATTGACTTCTGCTTTCCAATCTGGCACATAAGGAGCTTGGAAGGTGTCACTCCCATCCACATCACAAGAAAATAGCTGAACAAACTGAAAAGCAACAACTCTTCCTAGTTCCACTCAAGAACTGAGATCACAGAGAGAACCGCTGCCCCCAGAATTGGAGAGACAGGCAAATACAGAAAATCACAACTTACCGGAGCTGAAATCCATCAGTAGAAACCTCCATGGTATCCAGAAACCTCCAGGACCAGTGTAGGAAAGCCTAAACTGTAATTGATGAATTGCTAGAAGATCAGTGTAGATAAGTTTGAGAGTTGAAAACTCCAGGGGGCTCAGTCTTGGGGGGAGCCCACACTTCTGTGAGTTTTACCTCCAGGAACTCAACCATGTTCCCAAAGTGAAGATCAGAGAAAAATCTCCTTGTACTTCAGCAAAGTGAGGGTAACCCTTTAAACTCATGGTTAAAATAAGCCAGACCATTCTGTTCTTCTTAACAAAGACTACCCTCAAGAGAGACTATTTTACCAGAGCCTAATCAACTGGAGTTTTACCAGAAACTAACCAACATCAGGGAAGAAACATATCCAACCCTAATCCACTCTAGCCTTCCAAGTAAGAAAAGTGAAATACTCTACTCCAGCCCCCTCTAGCCTTTTTGCTTAAACTAAGGAGTAAAAAGCAAAACAAAACTGAGAAGCATTTGTGTAAATCACAGCCCAGGGGCATAGATTCACTAAAACATTGAACCTAACCATAGCAGTATATAATGCTCCCTGCCCCCAACACCTTACCACCACATTAACTGGGCTCCTATACAACAGGGGAATACAACTGAAAGAATTAAGACATCTCAAACCTTATTTAAGAAGTCTCTAGGGAAACCCAAAGACAACAGAGCACAAGAAGAAATTTTATCCTCTGACATCTACAGCTACAGCAAACAGTAAACATGGCCTAACCTCTAGCCAGATAAACATAAAACTCCACACTAATGGCCTATTTACCTCAGTTTGTTTTACCCCGTATTATCAAGTCTGATTTCAACAAAAAATTACAAGGCATACCAAAAACAATATGGAAATAGGATTCAAGTATTCCATAATCTTTAAGAACTGTTGAAAATGTAATCCTTATTAATATCATAGATAATAAATTACACACAATAACTTAAATGTATAGGTAAACACACATTCACTAAAATATTTTATGCTTAAGTAAATTAGAACCTTTCCCATTAAAGTCAGAAGCAGCAAGGATATTCAGTCATCACTAACACTATCCAACATTATACTGGAGGTCTTAGTCAAAGCAGTAAGATACCAACAGGACAAAAGGTTTACATATCAGAAAATGACTAAAAAACCTGTCACTATACAGAGACATTTAGAAAATATAAAGTGTTTAGTAAGCTGTCTAGATAAAAAATTAGTGTATAAAGATTATTAGTTTCCTATACACTAATAAAATCCAATTAGGAAATGTAATAGAAATTCATCCAGAATAGTAATAAAAATCCATAAAATATCTAGAACTAATCTAACAACAAATGTGCAAAACTTACATGCTGAAATTTTTAAGCTTTACTAAAAGAATATGAAAAGGTCTACATAAATGAAGACATGTGCCATTTCTCAGTGGGATTACTCAGATTTTTAAAGATGTCAATTCTCACCCCATTACACTCTAAACTTCAATGCAATCTTAAACACCTACAGGAATAAAAATATGCATTATGAAATATCTCATACAAAGAAAAAAATACAATGAAAAACATAATAAGGACCCATGTAACAACAATCTAGCCTAAAAAATAAGACATTGCAATATAGTTGAAAATGAAGACCTATCAAAGAGATACTCTCTATGACACAGCAAAATATACTAAGAAACTGCAGCAATTCAGACAGTGAAGTAGTGGCACAGGTGTAAACATATGTACCAAAAGAACAAAACAGATTTCAGGAATGGACTCGTAAATATATAAAAACATAGTATATAATAAAGGTGACATTTCAATCACTAATAAAAAGACTGGCTCTTTAATAAACTGTCTTTGGATAACTGATTGCCATGAAAAAAATTTAGACCCCAACCTCACACCACACAAATCAATCAATCTTCCACATGGAACAAAGAGCTAAACGTAAAACATAAAATTATAAAGGTAGTAAAAGGGAAGATGACAGAGTAAGCAGCACCAGGAATTTGCATCCCCACCCCAACAACTACACTGAAAAAATCTGCCCAATGTAACTTTTTTGGAACTATGCAGTCTATTCAAGGCTTGCAACTTCCAGGAGAAGACTTGGAAGGCAAACTGCAGTTGCTTTCGGTCAGTGTCAGCTCTTAGCACAGTAGCAGCTAACCATTCCCCACCCCTAGCTGTGTTCCTAGAGCAGTTTGCACACAGCTTGTGAGAGCCAGGGTGGGCAAAAAGGACCCTGTCCTCCAAATACCTCTGCTTCTGATCGCAGAGGAGCAGACAAACGGGACAGCCATTGTTGTTGTACACTCCTCCACTGTTGCAAGCCTCTCCTCCTCTGGTTTAAATGACTTCCAGGGGATTTAAAAAACCAGTGCCCTTTCTTCTCCCCACTATCCTCATTTTTTAATTTTTCCCCTTTTGGGAGCCAAACATTAAAGAGTAGAATATCAACTGCATATACAAGGAAAATTAGAAAGTGACTGTACATGCCCAGGGAAAGGCACAGAAAAGACCCTAAGATTATACCTCATTCTTCTTTTTATGTTGTTACAAATGTAAACAAAACGGAATAAAATATAATTCACTTATTCAGTCAGCTAGCCAGCCAACCAGCTAGCATGTACAGCTCCATTCTCCAAGATACTGGATTTGATCTTGAAGATACAAAGTAAATATGGTCAGGGCCCCTAAAGAATAAAAAATACAGTGGGAGAGACTGTAGGACAAGTCTTTACTATGCAAGAAGTTCCATGCCATAAGAGAAATGAGCTAAAGAGCTGGTGGGAATACAGATGAGGTATTAGCTAAGTCGGGGGAAAGCTAAGTAAAATTTTATAGAGGTGACATTTGATCTAGGCATCTTAAAAGAGAAAGAGAAAATTGAAGGTTGGAGGGCAGGATTTTGGTAGGGGTAACAATATAAGCACACGTTAGAAGGCACAAAAGTGGGGCATGTACCAAAAAAAAGTCAGCCCAGATCACTTACTATCCATATGACTTTGGGTGAAAAACTGAACCTATTTCAACTGAAAAATAAGGATAACAGTATCTCCCTCGGAGGGTTGGTAAATCGAGAAGGATATGAGGGTAATCTGGCTACCACATCTTCCACCCACTGATTTCCAAGGCTGACTTAGCTGTTTTACCTCAGGTTGTTGTCTCCTTCTTCTCTCACCTCCTTCAGAAGCTGTCTACTTGGTAGAAGAGCACAACCTTCTCAATCATGTACAACAGTCTAGCACAGTCCTTGACACATAGTATTTACTCAAAAAAGGTTAATTTCTTTTGTTTTCTTTTCACCAGATGGTCAGAGTTTTACTGAACTACTCTCCATGACACTCCTTAGAACTGTCGTGCAATTACTGCCAGGGTCCTGACTCTCAGCTTGAGAACTAGTGTTATGTTTTAATAAGCACCCCACCCAATCTGTACGCATATTACTTCATACTTACAGGCTGAGGCTGTTCTGCAATACAGCAGTTGAAACACAACCAGAATTCACTCATGCTTATAGTCCAAGGTATAAATGAGCACCAATGAAGTTTCCAAATCTCAACTCGGGAAGCTTAACAAAGCACGCTCCTCAATATGATGAATGTCCAATGATGCAAAAATAATAATTTTATTACTTCTCTGTGTTTTTGTTTCTGGAAGTCAAGTATCTTATACAGTCAATTTAATGAAGAAAAAGTCAGATTGTTTCCTTTCTTTGTTTCTGGTTCTACAGAGACTTGTTTCTGAACCACCAGGAAGGTATAAAAATTGTTGTCTTGACTTGGGGCCTATAACAGGTAGTCTAGAAAAAAAAGGAAAAGTAAAAGAAAACAAGTTATTTTACTGTTCCTTAGATGCTTTTATTTCTTAAATCTGTGATAAAATTAAGAATAAATATTTCCCCCAAATAAAGATATTTTAATAAACTGATATTCATTCAACAACTTTTTTGAGCACTTTCTGAGTGTCAGATGTTAGGGATATAGCAGTGAAAGAAGACAGAAATCCTTGCCTTCATAGAACATTCTATTTCATGACTATAAAAGTATGAATTATTCTAATAAGTTTATTTTTTAAATCACTAATTAGAACACCATGATTGCCATACAAAAGTCTAATTCCAAAAAGACATACCAATCATTTTCATACAGGTTTCTTCAATTGAGTCCTCTGTTCTCACAGACAACCCAGATAGTAACTGGCATTGCAATCAACTCTAGATAATCAAGCAACTATAACTCATCAATAACTACAAATAAAATTCTGTCTCCATTGAAATTAGAATTGTACATGAAAGATGGATGGGGGTTAAGTTAGGTTCCATTTTGTGAATCCAGACATTAGATCCCTGCTCTGTCATCAGCAGAATGAGTGTCAGTCAAAATACCTTGTATCCCATGGTGGCCAACCAAGCTGAGTCAATAAGAATCCATGTCAGGTAATTTTCTATCTGGAGTTGGACAACGAGTGAACCTATCTTTTCTTCTTGACTGACAAGCTGTTGACTTTAAGGTTGACCTTAGCAAACCATGTTCCAAACTTCATATAGAAGATGGTTATGAGGGGCCGGCCCCGCGCCTTGGCGGTTAAGTGCGTGCGCTCCGCTGCCGGCAGCCTGAGTTCGGATCCCGGGCGCGCACCGGCGCACCACTTGTCCGGCCATGCTGAGGCCGCGTCCCACATACAGCAACTAGAAGGATAAGCAGCTATGACATACAACTATCTACTGGGGCTTTGGGGGGAAAAAATAAATAAATAAAATTATTAAAAAAAAAAAAAAAAGAAGATGGTTATGAGATAATAATGCTGACAAGCAGACACAAGAGAGAGGAGGAAGTCCAGATGACATGAATCTCTGGTTCCAGTCATCCCTAAAGACCAGTTTGACCTGTGCACCTGAGGTTTGGTTTTGTGAGGCAACATTTCTCCCTCCTTAGCCAGAAGCTATATTGAAGCAGGTCTTTATCACCTGCAGCCTACTACAACCATCCAGTGAAGATGTCCAGTAGACAGTTGGATACACAGCTCTGATGCCAAGGAGAAGTCTTGGAACCAGCAGCAGATTATAATTGAAATAAAGAATGCCAAATTCTAGGGAAAGCAGTATCATCAGAAGCAAAGAGGGTCTAACAGAGAACTCTAAGGAACGGCAGCATTTAAATGATGGGTAGAGAAAGAGAACTCTACGAAGGAGGTTTGGGTGTTATCAGAAAGAGACAGAGGAGGAAAACCAGTTAATGTGGTGTCACTGGAGCCTGTTTCAAGGAGGAAGTGGGTAACAGTATTAACTGCCACTGAGATATTAAAAACTGAGAACTATCCATTAGAATGCACAGCAGACACTTGGTGCCCTTGGTGCCCACAGTTTTAGTGATGTACTGTGGGCAGAAATCAGATTAGAGTAGGTTGAAATTTGAGTGAATGAAAGAAGCAGAGTCAATAATTGTAGAAAATGTTTGCAAGAAGATTGGATAGGAAGTTTTAAAAGATAGGGTGGTAGATAAAGTGAAGAAAAAAGGCCATCCTTGAAGAAATCAAAGACCAAAGATGTATTAATTTGATTATTCAAAGAGATTTTGTCCCAAGTGTTGAAATATAAATCACATAATTATAAATTTTTGAAAAAGATCTCATACATGTATATAACCTATAACTATACATCACAGAATCACAGAACCCTGAATAGTAAATGAAATAAAATTCCTCCCTTGAGCTTTCCCCAAAGCCACGACTCTAAACCTGGTAAGGCAGGAATGACAGTTATTTTTATATTTGTATAGATGAAGATCTGCAGTGAAGATAAATGCATATATGCTCAATGTCAAAATATGGGTAGTAATAAAGCACGAATTTGGGACTCTGAAGTCCTCTAACATACTACAGAAAATGACATGTTAAGATTTAAGATGTTAAGATGTTCAAGGAAGAAGATCAAAAGGAAGAAAATTTACATTCTTGCCATAGTTAAAAGGCAGAACCTGGAATATTTATTTTTAAGCAGGGCTAAACATTTGTCATCTTACCCAAACTCCAAAAGAAGGAAGTGGCAGTCTTGCCATTGGCTTTGCCCACTGAACTGGGTAAATATTGTGAATGTTTATAAGCTCAAAAGGACAGTATGCTTCACTTATTTCCTTCTTAGCAAAGTATAAGAGTAAAGGGTTAAATTCACAATTTCATGAACACTATTCCAATGTTGTTATTTAACAAGTTTAACTCTACTCAGAATGAAAGACCTTGGCCATTAAAGTCATTGTGAAATGAAATCTCTTAACCAATTCTATGAAAACAAACACGCCTTTGTTTGAAACTGAAAATTCTTTATGCTCATCGTTGTTGCAGCACATATAGATATGGAGCTACTCTGATGTTTTCAAATCTATTGTTTGATTTATTCCATCATCATATTTTCTTGTCTACATATAAAGCTAGGCAATTTCCTTTTTATTTATAAATTACCTTTGCCAGAAACCACCTTCAAATATTACTTTTCCACTGGGAGGTGCCGTATTTTTGCCTCATTTTAACTAAGTGTTCATTCTATTTAATATTTAAAATTAATAAATGGCTTCTTAATTTACAATAAATAATACTTTATCACCCCACATTTCCCAAATTTAAATTTCCTCCCCATTTAGAGTAAAGCTATTCCTTATTTTGCAAATTTTAAAATACACATTCCCCCACTTCACAATATTTCTTCTTTCTTAATGCTTAGTTGAAGAACGACTGCTTAAAGTACAATAATTTGTGCTTCTATTTTCAGAGATAAGGCAGAAAGGATATACAGCTTTACTTAAGTATTTCCACCTAGATAACAGATCTGCTGAAATGTATTTTCAACCCAAGGGGATGTTTGCAACTCCATGGGTTTTTATTTGTTAAATAAATATATAAATCTAAAAATGTTTCAAACATCCCTTGGAATGTCATACCAATACATTTTCCATCTTCTTGCTTTTCTAAACAAACTTTCTTTTTAAATTTTTTCAAAAGCGTATACACTTAAAACACATTTATATATAAACACCTTTAGAGAAGTACTGAATTTATCACAAAAAATTTCAACACTGCCACTAACAATAAATATACTAATAGTTACATTCACTTCTTCAGCTGAAAATTGCTGAAAACATGTCCATTTTGAAAACCTTACACTTTTTTTAAATCTTAAGATAACAAAAGGAGTGTGACTTTGCAACAACATCAACATCTAAACTTGGATTTAAACACAGCTCAGCACATTCCACACATAAATAAGGGGTCAGACTAGTCTACAGCACCAGACAGTATTTCACAAATTCACAGATTCACAAGACATAAGATTTTAGAAAAGCTTTAAGTGAACTATCAGACCACTTAGTGACTGGCAGCACTTTCCTGAATTAAAAGCTGTCTTTTGACATCTCAAGACAGCGGCATGAGTATAAAAGGGTAGCAGGAGCATTCTCTGGTCAAAAATATTCACTACCATCAGCTTCCTCTCCTCCTCACTTTGTGCACCCAAATCAAATGCTGCAGATATCAGCTTTATACCTGTGTGAACAGGTTTGCTGCTGACAATTTAAAGAATTTATGTTCTGGGGCCGGCCCCGTGGCTTAGTGGTTAAGTGCTTGTGCTCTGCTACTGGTGGCCTGGGGTCGGATCCCGGGCATGCACCGACGCACCGTTTGTCCGGCCATGCTGAGGCTGCGTCCCACATACAGCAACTAGCAGGATGTGCAACTACGACATGCAACTATCTACTGGGGCTTTGGGAAGAAAAAGGGAAAAAAAAAGGAGGAGGAGTGGCAATAGATGTTAGCTCAGGGCCGGTCTTCCTTAGAAAAAAAGAGGAATATTGGCATGGATGTTAGCTCAGGGCTGATCTTCCTCACAAAAAAAAAAAAAAAAAAAGAATTTATGTTCCAACATCTTACCCACAATTTTATAAAATTGCTTTTTATGTCAACTCCCAAAGAAACAATAATAAAGCCTTGATTTGAAAAAAGGACAATGAAGCATAACTTTAGCCAAGTAATTTATTTTGTAATCTGAAATATTTTAACTCAGTTGAGGTATTAAGCAAGCCCAGTTTGCATGAAACGGAATCAGAAGTTTAGAATTTAGGCTTTGAAATAAAAGATCTGTGGCAGTTTTAGTACTTCACTAACTTTTTGGAAATGTTAGCTTGGGCAAGTGACAAGCTCTATCATCGGTTATAAAATGGAATGCTGCACTGTCAATGTCACAGGTCTGAAATAAGGACTAAATCAGATGATATATATGAAGACATTGTATGTATAATAAAGAGCTATACTGATATAAGATGCTTTTATTTGTTGTCAGAATTAAAACGGCAGATAGCAGAATGAAGTAGCAAAAACAAGTAATTTGTAACAGCTGCAAACTTTTAGGAAACAACACAAAAGCCTATCAAGGAAAAAAAATGAAAAAAATGAAAAAAAATGAATTGTGGTATAATCATACAAAAGAATACTATACAAAAAGAAAACCAAGGGTAGCTTCACGCAACACATTGGCTAATTTTCACAGACATGTTATTGAGGGAAAGAAGCAAGGCATAAAACAATATACATGAAATGATTTCATTTATATGAATTTCAAAAACAAGTTAAACTATTTTGTTTAGAGATACACACATACACATAAAAGTAAAGCAAGGAAATTATTATAATAAAAGTCAGAAGAGTGGTTACCTCTAGGGCTGAGGGTGGGGACTGAGAATAGGAAGAGATGCATAAGGGTTCCTGGAATACCGACAATATTCTACCTCTTGACTGGATGGTACTTACACAGGT